GCCGAGAGCGAGTGGAAACTGGTCCTACTCATGGACATGCTCCTCCTGTCCAAGTCGTCCGAGGCGGCTACGTGTGGGGAGCTGCTCGAGGAAAGGCTCGCGTGGTTCTGGGGCGGGCAGTGGGCAGCCCTCTGGGCTTCCACCCGGACTGGCAGGACTGTCCCGAGGAGGAGCCGCGAGCAGACCGACAAACAGCTAACGGCTCGGGTACACACTCTCGCCGCCTCCGGGGAAGAGGGGCGAGCGCTGACGGCAGCCACCAGCGCGAAGCTCGCCCCGCGAACGCCGGAGACCCTGAAAAAGGTCCTCGAGTGCTTCCCTGAGGACGCTGCCGCGCCGGCCGCCCCAGGCGCCCGCTCGGAGCCGGACGAGGAGTTGCTCGAGGTGGTGCAGGAGGAGATCCGGCGCCTCCTTCGCAGACCAGCTCGGCTCACTGCCCTGGGACTGCTCGGAACGAGGTTGGAGCACTTGGAGACGGCAGCGGCCAGCCAGGAGACTTTACAGCTTCTCTCCGAGGCGGTCTCCTGGGTCACCTTCGGCCTTCTTCCGGCTGGGACAAGCCTTGCGGGTCGGCGAGGTCATCGCCCTCGAAAAAGGTGCGGACGGGGTCCGGCCTCTGCTGGTGAGCTCGGCCTGGCGGCGGCTCGGCCTGCGGGCGTTGGCCCGGGTCCGCAAGGAGCGGCTGGCGGCCGCTGCTGGCGAGCACCAGTACGGCGTGGGGAGGAAGAAGGGCGCGGACCTCCTACTGCGGTGCCTCGAGGCACAGGCGGAGGCCCGCCCCGCCGCCGTCTTCCTGAAGCTTGACCTTAAGGCGGCCTTCCAGAGAGTGAAACGCCAACCTGCCACCGCAGCAATGGCACGACACGACCCTGCAGTGGCCGCCTTTGGCCACCTGGTACGGGGGCCCGGTGGACCACTACTGAAGAGACGCCGGCGGCGCACTGCACAAGGTGCCAAGCAGCAGGGGCTTCGACCAAGGCGACCCGCTCTCTCCCGCTGGCTTCTCGGTGGCGCAGCGCGAGGCTCTCGCCGACTTCTGGGTGGAGCTCCAGAGGCTGGGCCCTGCTGCCCGGCTCTACTCCTACCTGGGCGACACCTACCTGGTGGTCGAGGCCGGCCTCTCCCCTGCCACCCTCGCTGCCTTGGAGACTGCCCTCGAGCCCTACGGCCTGGAGCTCAACCACGCGAAGACTGCGGTCTGGTCCCCGAGCGGGGGCGCCGTCGTGCCGCCTGCGCTGCGGCCCCACTGCGTGGCTGTTCTCCCGGCGCTTGGCAAGCACCTCAGGCCGCGGGGGGGCGCAGAGGACAACCCCGCAGCCCTCGGGGCGCGCGCCGACAGCCTTGACAAGGCGACCCTGCGGCTGCAGAAGCTCTGGGACACGCTCTACCGGCTCCACCAGGCGGGCCTGGCAAAGCAAGCCACTGGGGCGCTGCTGCTGACCTGCGCCCGCGCCGCCAGCCAGCGCGCCCTGCGGCAGGAGCTGGCGAGCGAGGAAGCCACCCAGCGCTACGACGCCCGGCTAACGCGCTGCTGGGAGACGCTGCTGAGGCGCGACTTAAGCGGCGAAGCCAGGGAGCTCTTGGGCCTGCCCAAGCGCCTTGACGGCCTCGGGGGGCAGCTGGCCTGCTCGCGGCGGAGCGCCGCCTACCTGGCCTCCTGGTCTGGCGCGGCCGAGGAGGTAGCGAGAGACCTGGGGTGCAGCTCGCTGCGCGACGCCCTGGAGCGCCTGCCTGCAGCCGCGCGCAAGCTGGAGGAAGCGAGGCAGGGCCTGGCCGGGCAGGGGCTGCTGCTGGCGGACGGCGGAACGCTGGCTGACAGCCTGGCCCGCGAGCTCAAGCAGGGCTTGGCTATGGAGAAGGTGCAAAAGACACACCACGCTGCACTCCTGCAGCGTTTGCCCCTCCTCCAACAAGCCACTTTGGGAGGGCAAGCTGGGCCGGGCGCGGCAGCCTTCCTGGGCTACCCCACCGAGGCGCTCTGCGTGCTGGAGGGCGCGCGCTGGGAGACGGCTACGCGCCTCCGGCTGCACCTCCGGAGGCCCGAGTGCTCCCGGGACCAGCTCGCGGCGGCGACGGCCCACTGCTGCCTGCAGAACGCCAGCGGCGAGGTCTGTGGGGAGCCGCTGGGCGACCTCGGCTACCGCGGCGCCACTTGCCAGAGCGGCGGCGGGGTGGTGCGCAGGCGCGGCCGGCTGGCTCGGCGGCTCGGCGGCCTGCTACGGCGCTGGAGGCACGAGCTCCCGCTCTACGAGCAGCGGGCCCCGCTCTGGGACAGGCCGAAGCCGGGCCACCCCGGGGAGACAGAGCGCGCCGTGCTCGACCTCGAGTTCCAGGACGACGACGGGCGTCGCTGGCTCGACGTGCGGCGCCCCGCCGCGGGCACCGAGGCGGAGCAGCGGGTCGCGGCCCGTCGCGACGGCGAGGCGAGCCGGCGCGGAGAGCGAGGCGCGCTCGTTACCCGGGGGAGCGCCTCACCCCGATCATCCTCGAGGCGGGGGGGCGGCTCGGGGCCGAGGCGCGCCTCTGGCTGAAGGCAGAGGTGCGACGCCTGCCTGGCGCCGAGCAGGCCCGCGAGCTCGCCCGCGCGCACCGCGTGCTCTCCTGCGGCCTGCATGGCGAGCTGGCGCGGCAGCTGCGCGCGGCCGCTGGCTTGCGCTGAGCTGACCGCGGGCGGCGCGCTGGCGCCTGGCCACCTGGGGCAGCTGAAGCGGCGGCGGCGGCGGCGGCGCGCCGGCGCCGGGGCGCTGGCGGCGACTGCGGCGCCGGGGGCGCCTGAGGCTCCCGCGGCGACGGCGGCTGCGGCCGCGCTGTTCGGCGCGGCGCGGCGCGACGTGGGCGGCGGCGGCGCGGCGCGGCGCGGACGGCGGCGGCGCTGCTCGGCTGGCTGCGCCGGAGTCCTGCCGCGCCGGGCGCCACCGCGAGCCGGCGCTGCGCCGCTGCCACGAGCTGGCGTGGAGACAGGCGCGGCGGGCCGGCGCCTCGGGCGGCTGACGACCTGGCGACTTGGCGGCGGCGGCAGCGCCTCGGGCGCCTGGCGCCCCGGCGGCGGCGGCGGCGCACTGCTTGGCGGGCGGCCACCTGCTGTGCTGGCCGGCGGCTGGAGGGCTGCGCAGGGCGGGTGCCGCCGGGGCGTCGGCTTGGGTGCGGGCAATTCCCGCCCCCTGGGAGAAGTCCTGCTGGGATTTCTCCCGGGGTGGGGCGCCAGCAGCAGGCTGCGCCTGTGTGCTGGCGCGGGTTTGCCTGCGCCCT